ATAAAAAGCTGTCCACAGATATAATCAAGTAGGACAGCCCCAGTAAACAAGCAAGCCAAATAAGCACCAAGGTCCTGAGTTCAAATACCAGTACCACCAAAAACAACCAAAAAAAAAAAGCCCAAATAGCATACACTAGAGTGACTCTAAACTATAGACATTGGAAGATAATTTGTCTAAGTAGGTTCAATATTAACAAATGTACCATCCTTATGTACCATGCTGACACTGGGAGTTGGATTGTATGGAAAAGACAAAGGGAAGAAGGGATTTGATTACCACCAACAAAAATTAATTAAAAACCAAAGCTCAGCTGTGGTGGCTTACTTAGGAGTCTGAGGTTGAGGACTGGGGTTGGAAGTCAGCCGGAGCAAAAAAGTCTGATAGTCTTTTATCTCCAATGAACCACCACGAAGCGGGAAGTGAGTCATGGCTCAAGTGGGAGAGTACCTGTCATGAGCAAAAGAGCTAAAGGGTAACACAAGTCCCTGAATTCAAACCCTAATGTCAACATCAATAAATAAACAAGAATATAACTATTCCACATTAAGGAGACTTAAACATGTCAACCTGCATTCTCTTACTTGTTCTTTTGGAAGTGTTGACAGGAACTTTAACCTCCTTAGTTTACCAGTGGAACAGATAATTCTACAGGAGATGGCTTTCCATCTACTTGGCAAAACCATTAAAGATGTGTAATGACTATCTTGATGTCCCCAAATTCATGACCATTTTTGTGTTAAGATAGTAAGTGCCGGGGCTGGGAAGGTGGCTCAGTGGTAGAGCGCTTGTCTTGCATGCATGAGGCCCTGGGTTCAATTCCACAGCACCACATAAGAAAAAAGAAAAAAGCTGGAAGTGGTGCTGTGGCTCAAGTGGTAAAGCACTAGCCTTGAGCTGAGGAGCCGAGGGACAGCGCCCAGGCCCAGAGTTCAGGCCCCATGATGGGACTCCCCCCCCCCAAAAAAAAAATGACAAAAGAAAAAAAGAAAGTGCTAGCCAGGAGCTGCTGGCTCACATTTCTAATCCTAGCTACTCAGGAGGCTGAGATTTGAGGACTGTGGTGGTTCAAAGCCAGCCTGGGCAGGAAAAAGGGTGAGACTATCATCAACTACCAAGCAAAGCCAGAAGTGGAACTCTGTCCCAAGTAGTAGAGCACTACCCTTGAGCAAAAAAGATCAGGGACAGGGGCTGGGAAGGTGGCTTAGTGGTAGAGCGCTTGCCTTGCATGCCTGAGGCCCTGGGTTCCATTCCTCAGCACCACATAAGCAAAAAGAAAAAAGCC